ACTTGAGTTCTGCTTAGGTGTCGATCCTTAGTGCGTTCCCCACACTTTCTTAACTCTTCCGCGCCGAATGCACGCAAATATAATGCCTCTCGGAAGCTGGGCCTTGGCACTGAGGGGCCACATATTTGCGTACCCATTGTAAACAGAAGATGTGCCCTGCATGCTCCCGGCACATATACCAGCGCCTCACAGAAAGGTCCCAATTGCTACTTGCGATTGGGAGCTTTCCGATCATGTCACCACTGTGACAGCTAATCACATGACCCTAAACTCCACTTGCCTCCTGGCGTCACAAACACCTTAAAGAGCCGGGAGGCATCGGTGCCAAGGGGTTATTAGATTGCTCTAAGGGCCCTCTCCAGAGCGGACATGGTCTTCAGAATCCTATAGAAATTTACTGTGGTGGTGGGGAGGGTCCAGACTAGCATATTGGGGAGGAAGGGTGATAAGTGCACTTAGGTTCAGAGTGTTCTCACTCTTTATGCACAGCCGAAATGTTTACTGGCATGCATTCACAGTTCACAGATTCACACCCCCTATGAATACGTGCTCGTGCATGAAACGCATCAAGGAGGAGCTACAGCGTCGTGACGTCACACCGCCGGCACCACGTGGGTCCTGGCGGCCATCTTTTGGAATCTGGTCAGTTATAGCTATTTTATCCCTTTCTGTTCATTGTTATTGTGTGGAATAAACTACCCATTAAAAAAAAACAATATTATGCTATCGGCCTTCTCTTTCTGGGGCTCCTTTTGGAGCTTTCACCACCCACAGAGCAGTTGTGCCAGTGCTGAAAGCGGAGACTTGAACAGTGAGGGACCAGACCAGACCTGACCTTTTCCACCTTAAAGGGACCTCCAGGTTACTGAGAGTGATAGTCTCTAAATGCGCATTTTGATTGCGCATCTGGTGATTGCGCAGTCTTTACCATTTTGGACACATCACCACTATGCAGGATAAGACCACCAGATATTGAAGATCATCACAATCTCCTGTGCACTTTATTTTGGACTATATAAGGATCAATCATTGATTTCTTGGCACCTGACACATTGCCAGTCACTATATAGTGACATACTATATCACTAATTAGTCACTTTATTGCATTGTTAGCACTTTATCACTGGTGTCACTTTATACAATTGCCTGTTTTTCATATGTGTATATATGCAAAATATTATTTGTGAGTGACACTATTATATGGTACCACTAAGTCACCTGATTCTCAGTAAGCACTATGTCACTTATTGTTCTATAATCTGAAACATTTTATTATATATGATTATAATTTCTTAGTGCTACACCTCTTTTTATATGTACAGTTCACAGATTGTTTACTTTGGCTCTAATTGCTCTTCTAAGCAGGTTTCAAAATGATATGAAAACTAGTACGGCACACTCTTGTGTAACACCCAAGACTACAATCTATTCCAATAATATGGAAAAATTGTTCCGTTTACTAAACAGTTACGGATGGATGAAAAATTAGATGACAGTTATGGTCCTTCTGGATACATTCAATCATCCCAAATTAATTGCATGTGGCTTGCCTGCCAAACAGCGATGGCAAAAGAGCAGGCTGGGATATGCTGTCTCGTGTGGCACTCAGTGAGGTTGTGTTACACTTCAAATTAAACTGGAATCATTCCCGAGTTCCTGGTGGAAGGCTTTAGTCTTCTTTACCACTGACTCATCTAGAGAAAAATATATTTTCAGCTATAACTATCAGGGCCGCTTTAAAACAAGCCATACACATACGAAGACCGTTGCCTGATCAAGTTGCTTCTTGGCTGGATCTGCTGTCTATGGTAGAAGCAGAGAACGACCTGTCAAACTGAGCTGAAGCTGCCTTCCCTCACCTCCAAACTTTCCCCCTACTCCACTCCAGGGCTGCTGTTAGAAACCATATGGCCCCTTACAGCCAACCTGACAGGGCCCCCCAAACCACAGGTGCCCTTACAGCCATCCAAACAGGGCCCCCCATGCCCACAAAAAAACACAGTTTACTATGCTTCAGTTATGAATGAACACAGTGAGTGATCGGTACCGATTACTCATTGTGTTCATTCAGGAATGGAAGACACTGGTAAATTACTGGAACTGATCCCCTGCATGTTTCTCTCTGCAGTAGCTTAAAGGCAGCTGGGGGGGAGGGGGGACGGGGCTGCTGCAGAAAGAGCCTTAAAGGGGATTGGTTCCAGTAATTGCCCCATTCACCCTTCCTGCCCACATCCGATTCACCCAGCTGCCTGGGCCCCTCTGCAGGCCTGGGCCCCATGCAGGAGGACTGGTGGTACCCCCTTATCCATGGCCCTGCTCCTCTCTGTTCAGTTAAGAAGAACTAAACAAACTAATGTAAATATTTCCCAAAACAGTTACATTCATACATTCATGCTGTGAATGATAACTGTCACATTTGCTTGTGCTCTGAACCAAACTGTCAAGCCATAAAATGGCTGGCGTTATAAGTGATCACATGTGCAGTACCATGGCAAGTGCAGATCAAAGAAAGGCTAAGATGGCAGCTTGCTTAGTTGTAAAGACTGGAAGTGTTTAGTCCCATTTTAAAGTGGAACTATGGGCAAAATGGGCCTCTACATGTCTTCAGTTTCATCGCCAACATATTTTAACTCGCTTCCTCTGAAACTTGGTTGTCCTGGACCCACCAGGCTGTGACAGGTGGTTTGGTGCCATTACAATCTCCACCTTGTACAGCCAGCAACAATGCAGCATGGCAGCCGCTTGGCATGTGACCTGGAAGCTAGCGAAGATCACTGGAATAGCAGTGTCTACTACTGTGATTTCCAGCATATAGAGGGATCCCACAGGTATGGTATATGAATAGTTACATTGGTCTGAGCTGGACCAATGGAGCTATGAGAAAATGCCATACCTGTAATTCTTCTTTAATAACGTCCCAGAAAAAGCATGCAGTCAGCAACATCAAAACTTGAGTCTGCATGCTTTTCCCAACGTCAGACACTCAGATCATACTAAAGTCAATAGGTTAGCATGATTGTCAGGTTACTGGCATTTTTGAAAGCTCAACCACAAAAGCCTACAGTTTGTAAATGTTAAAGTGGTTGTAAACCTCTGAAATGCAAAATGAACAAATTATATCCTTCTATATAGTGTATCGTGTGTATCCAAATTCAAAGCACCTAGTGTGATTTCTCTCTGCTTTGTCCTCCCCCTGCTGTTTGCATGAGTTACTTCTGAATGTGTATGCCAATGCCAAGCAATCTCAGGGGACAGCGTTGCACCCATCCAGCACACAGCCTGTGACAGCTTCAGCTATGCATGTTTCCCCACCAGACTGTGTGTAGAGAGGTGTGTCTATTCCCTCCACTCAGGTCTCAGATTACACTAAGCTTTCCTCTCCATGCTGTACAGTGTGGGATATCAGATCTCCACCTCTGCCTTCTGAAGCTCAGAAATGCTGTGTAAATTCTGGACTTTGAACAGATGTAGGGGAGAAGGTTCTGTAGATAAACAGGTACAACCTGTGTAGCAAAATTTGTTTCATCTCTTTATCACCTGAGGCCAGCCAGTTCACTAGGTATATGTAAGGTTTTACCACCACTTTAATATAGATGTAAATATGTAAGTTAAAAATTGAATCTCATAAGGCAAACTGACTGCTCTGGTTTTTTATAGGACATATCATAGCTCTTTGAAGACTCATAAAACTGTTAACACTGATTTACTTCCATGAGAACTGGATGGAATAGAATTGAAATTAGTGTGCATATAATGTGACCTGAACTGGGTTATTTAGGATCATGGTGACCTCATCAAAACTAGAGATCTCTTGGCTTCCCAAACCACCAGGGGACTGAGGTATAAAAATGTACCATTAAAATACAGACATGAAATTTGCAATATCATAGACACTGTAAAAAAAAAGATTCATTACATCTAATATGGAATGCTAGCACTGGCATTAAAATCATAGTTCTACTCCGGCACGGTTAAACATATACAGTCATGGCCAAAAATATTGGCACCCCTGCACTTCTGTCAGATAATGCACCACTTCACGCAGAAAATGGTTGCAATTACAAATGTTTCGGCATTCTCATGTTTATTTCTTTTGTATTGGTATGACACAAAAAAAGTAGAGAAACAAAAAGCCAAATCTGACACATTCCACGCAAAACCCCAAAAATGGACTGGACAAAATTATTGGCACCCTCTATTTAATATTTGATAGCACACCCCTTGGAAAAAATAACTGAAATCAATCACTTCCTGTAACCATCAATGAGTTTCTTACACCCCTCTACTGGAATTATGGACCCCTCATCTTTCGCCAGCTGCTTCAGTTCTCATAGATTGGAGGGGTTCCTTTTCCCAATTGCTGTTTTTCTCCACAAGGTGCTCTATGGGATTGAGATCTTGATGCATTGCGGGCCAGTTCAGTATTCTTCAGCGCTTTGTCTGAAACCATTTCCGGGTGCTTAGTGATGTGCACTTTGGGTCATTGTCCTGCTGTAAGACCCATGACCTCTGACGGAGACCCAACTTTCTGACACTGGGACCTACATTGCACCCCAGAATTTTTTTTGTAGTCTTTAGATTTCTTATGCCATGCACACGGCCAAGACGTCCAGTGCCTGAAGCAGCAAAGCAACCCCAAAACATCAGTGAACCTCATGTTTTACTGTAGGGACTGTATTCTTTTCTTTAACCACTTGCCTACTGGGCACTTTCACCTCCTTCCAGCCCAGGACAATTTTCAGCTTTCAGCGCTGTCACACATTGAATGAACAATTGCGCAGTTGTACAACACTGTCCCAAACAAAATTGTTATCAATTTTTTGAGACATATAGATCTTTCCTCTGGTGATATTTGATCACCACTGGGGTTTTTATTTTTTGCTAAACAAATGAAAAAGACCAATAATTTTGAATAAAAAAGATTTTCTTAGTTTCTCATAAAATTTTGTAAATAAGTAATTTTTCTCTTTCACTGATGTGCACTGATAGGCAACACTGATGGGCACTGCTAGACGGCACTGATATGTGGCACTGATAGGCAGCCCTGATGGGCACTGATGGGCATCTTCAATGGGTACTAATAAACTGCACTGATGAGGAGGCACTGATAGACAACACTGATGGGCATTGACAGGCATTACTGATGGGCACTGATAGGCAGCATTGATGGACACTGAGAGGCATCACTGATTAACACTGATAGGCACTGATAATCAAGGCACTGATGACCAGTGCCCTGATTATCAGTATACATGCCCCCTCTGAGGATTGGCACTTATTGGCTCTCCTCTCCTAACACACTGTAAGCATGGGGAAAGGACTGCCGATAACCGGCATGTCCTGTTTACATGTGATCAGCTGTGATTGGACACAGCTGAACACATGGTAAAGACCCTATGTCATTGGCTCTTTACAGGTGGTGATCCACTGTGACCGAGGGACACAGCACACCACAGATCGCCGTGCCGAGTACCTCTGGGGCCATGCATGCGCAGCTAGAGTGGGAGGACGTCATATGACATCCTCCCAGAACAAGAGACCTCCCACCCTTCCGTCATTTCCCAATATGGCAGGCAGGAGGCAGTTAAAGTCCTCACTGATTTTTCTGAAACAGCAGAATGATGAGTTTTACCAAAAAGCTGTAGTTTTGTTTCATCTGTCCACAGCACATTCTCCCAAAATGATTTTGGCTTCTTCAGGTAAGTTTTGGCAAACTCCAATCTGGATTTTGTTATGTTTCTGTGTCAGCAGTGGGGGGTCCTCCTGGGCCTCCTACCAAAACATACCTTTTCATTCAGATTGCAACATAAAGTGCGAGCTGACACAGTTGTACCCTGTGCCTGACTGTCAGCTTGAATTTGTCTGGAAGTTGATCGTGTTTTATGCATCATGCAAACAATCCTTCATTGTAATCTTTGACCAATTTTTTTTTCTTTTGCCCACGTTCAGGGAGAATAACTACAGTGCCATGAGCTGTAAACTTCTTGACATTGTTGCACACAGTGGACACAGGAATATTAAGATCTGTTCATTGATACAGGTGAGTTTAATTACAAATTACCGGAGCATCACAAACTTGGAATGCAATTATTTCATACAATTTTGAGAAGGTGCCAATGATTTTGTCCAGTCCATTTTTGTGGTTTTGCATGGAATGCGTCAGATTTGGCTTTTTGTTTCTCTACTTTTTTGTATCATACCACTACCACCAAAAGAAATAAACATGAGAATTGCAACAATTTTCTGGGCGAAGTGGTGCATTATCTGACAGAAATACAGGGGTGCCAATATTTTTGGCCATGACTGTATAATAAAACGTGTCACACTGTCCTTCTGAATATTCCCCTTGCTGTTGTATCAAGGCCATTCCCCCTGTGTTGGATGTGTGCCAGGATATTAACATATACACACACAGACATTGTGTATTCAACCCATTGGTTCATTGTGTCCAGCTCCATTGTTTCCATATGTGTATGCTAGTACAGCAGAATGAGTTAGGACTCCCTCACACCAGGTCCCTTGAGCTGAGTTGATCAGCTTGGTCAAAGCAGGTTCAATGCAAGGACACAGTGAAAACAATTATTATGTTTTTGTTGTGTTCATTTGTTTTGTTTGTTACTTTTTCCTTTGTCACGTAACAAAAAATGTCCAAAATTGTAAAAAAAAAATTTCATTTGCAAATATTTTTGCCATACTTTGTACCAGAACCATAATATTAGCTTCATTTGAAGCCTACGTTTAGCCCCCCCCCCCCCCCCCCCCCCACACACACACACACCTCCATTGCCATAATCTTCTTGTGCGCCAGCTATTAGTAGAACTGAAGGAGCTGTGACAGGCTTTCATCAAGAGTGCCCAGCTTCCCATCCAGCTCCTCCATTCATAGAAGCAACACTAAAGCTAGAAAACAGTCTACGAATGGAAGAGGCAGACCTTTCAATCATCATCTTGTTCTCTATTCATAGATCAAGTTTCGTTCATATAAGCTTCGATGGATGGAGAAGGGTGGCAGAAAGGGTGGGCATTGCTGGGCACTCTTGATGAGGACCTGTGACAGTTTCCTCAGTTCTATGAACCCCTGCCGCACTAGAGGATTACAGCGGCAGGAGGGTAATCAGAGGAGGAAAATTTCTACTAAACCAGATAAAACCAGCACAAGGGACACATCACAATGATGGTAAATCATATCTCATGCGCTCTTTGGTTCTCAGAGAATAGGTGCACATACCCGTCCCCCACCCCCCTCCAACTCAGATCCACTCCTTGTCTCTGCACCCTACCCACCTCCAAGCATCATCCCTTGGTTCCACCCCCTACACACTTCTGATTACTGCCCCTTTTAGAGAAAACAGAACAAGTATCATTCTGTGGAGTCATTTGTATGGAATTTGTTAAGGATCACAAGAGAAGCAATAAAATAGATCCCCTGCAGCCAAAGACAATATACCTTTCAGCAACAATGATCCCTCCCCAGGAACAATAGCCCCCCCCCAGAAACAAAATACCCTCCAACAAAAATAGATCTACCAGCAGCCAGCATTAACCAACCCTCCAGCAGCCAACAACAATAGACCCCTCCTTCAATAATAGATCCCTCCCAGCAACAAAAGACCCCTCCTTCAACAATAGATTCCCTCCCCCCCTCCAGGGACAATATAGCAGCTAATATCAATGGACCCCCCAAACACACCCTAGTACTCCTTGCCATTAAATATATTCTGGAGGTGCCAGAACTGCGGTCCACCTGAAAAAAAGCCCTCCCTGCGCTTATTTAGTTATTTTTTAAAAACTAAAAACGTTGGCTTCCAGTAGGACAATTTATCAAAGAATATGTAAATGTAATTTTTTTTTTATTTACAGTAAAAATACTTTTTTAAAAACTAACTCTGGTCAATAAAAAAAACCCCACATATTTCATTTAATTTTTGTTTTTTTTTATTTATAAGTTCTATAGAAAATAAAATATTTTTAGTACAAAAATAATGCCAAAAGTGAATATAGTTTTTAAGAAAAAATCAATGTATGTTATACCTTCGTATCTTAAAGTGGAACATTTTCCATAAAAAACTTCCATAAAAAAATAATGTTCTTTACCAAAGAACATACATTCCACATTAATAATTATATGTGCTGTAAATTGCCTCCAGCATTGTGCCTGTTTCTTCTTGCTGGAGGATGCCATTTTGCTGAAATACAGAGCCCCTGAGGAGCAGTAAATCTTTAGGCCACTAGCAGATTTTTGGCAAAGTGCTGAAATCAGAGAGCAACTGAGTATGTGCAGAGCAGGGTGAGACAGCGTAATTACTGGATTTTTAACAGTATAGGCGCTTATTTTTAATGTTGTACATATCTATACCTTCAAAAGGGGCTAAGGTATCCCCAAATAAACAGAAAATAAAATAAAAATGTAAAAATTCCTCTGGTTTATAAAGGGTAAGAGCTGAAGATGTTCAAAAGCTATTGAGTATGTTGCGCAGAGAAAAGATAATTTAGTTTTGCTCTGAACTCAAAAGTGATTCCTTTAACAATACTATTTCTTTTACTGGCTTCTTGAAATGACAAATGCAATAATTTATAGGTTCAATGAAAGCTTTGGTGTAGTATAACACTTTTGTTAATAATGACAGAGATCTATACATCCGACCAAAAACTGGGACAAGGAGGAGGAAGGGCAGTGGGATTAGTTCAGTACAAAACCTCCAAATGAGGGTCAGCTGGGAGCTATGCCAATATGGCATTTTTACTACCTCCTAAAAAGTGCAGGAATGGTACTTATCCATTGGTTGCCTGGCACATGTAGTATTGAACGGCTAAAGCTCTGGGGTCTCACCACAAGTTGAGAAATTAACAAGATGCTTAGGACCACTATGCTGTTGGGCATCTAACAGATAAGCATCCCTGTCTAGAGCTAATATTAATTATTTAGTGGATACTTAAAAAACCTTCAACAATGTATGTACAGAATATTCTCTAAGATATTTCTCTCTCTGTGTTGCTTTCTCTAGAAAACGAGACAGTAATCTCTCCTTCCCCAGCAGGATGCTAAATGCTTAAAGTGATACTAAACACAAACTGTTTAATTTACGTTATCCCTTCTCTTTCTGTATATGGATGATGGCACTGTATTTTATTTCATTTAAAAAAAAGTCTGAGTACCTTTTTTTTCCCTAATCTACATGCAGCTGTCACATGACCCAGCTTTTTCCCAGCCTGTCTGAAAGGAAACATAAGCAGGAGGACCTCTGCTGCTGGTCTCATGTTCAAAATTAAAAAAAAAACAGCCTCTGGGATACAGAGTAAAAATGAATAATTAATATCAATAAACTCATTTAAATTGTCATACAATTATAGAATTATAGTATAGTAAATTTCAAATGAAATCTTTATTTTTTTGGCAATAACTTGGTGTGGGCAGATTTCTGTGTCAGGCTCCAAAAGCCTGTGTCTATTGTGTGTATGTGCTTAGAATAAGAAGGGGGTGAAGCCTTCATCAATCAAGATGTAATATCCCGTCCTCTGTTTGCTGGTTAGTGGGCATGAAGGAGAAGGGAGAGTGGAAAGAGAGTATCATTTTTGACTGTGTATTCACCCACATATGTGAGTCTATAGACACAGCCTGGTGTTTTACAGAATACAGAAAACAAATGCAATAGTGAGTATGAACAGATCATGCGGACCTGACAGCGGGGAGGGGGGGGGGGGGTTATACACAATCCAATGACTGCAGCCACCTGTATTGCAGCATTGTGTATAAAATTGACAAGCAGATGGAAGCAGTCGGGTGGCTACATTGCTGCCCGATTGATTCCACAGCCCCTGGTACTGCTACAATCCCACCCCCACCCCTCGCGAATGCTCCAATCATGTATCCGGGCCCCGCTTGCCCTTCTTTCTGTGACCTGGAAGGCAACATGTGTGATGTCACTTCCGGGTCACCGCTGTCACTTTCTCAGCTAGCACAGCCCAGAAGCAATGTATTGCAATGCAGTCTGCAGTGCAATACATTGAGTGGAGGCCAGAGGAGACATGAGAGTTCTTTAGACCCTGCATGTCTCAATAAAGAGAACCGGTCAC